GCTTACCGTATGCGAAAAAAAAGTCTGCAGTGTTTCCAAGTAAGGTTGAAACTTTATTACTAAGCAAAAATCTCACATACGAAAATTTCGTTTCAGTGGTACTTTAACTTTCACATACCATGACGTCACATCCTCAGGTTTCGCGCCATTCAACGCGTCACTATTAAGCACATCTTTCTTGTATTCATTCTGCATGTGGCGTCTTACGGCATGCTGGGAAGAAGTTTTTGTTGCCCCACCAGGTGGGGCCGAACGACTTCCTGCAAATCTTGACAAGGTTCTCTTTTGAGCACCAACACTTGAAATCCCGGGTAACTTCACTCCGAAATAAGTCGTTTGTGATTTCCAAGAACCTCTAGAGTCCACCCTCTCAGGAGAACTGTGACCAAATAGAAGAAACAGTTCTAGCGACAGAATGGAATTGATCATGATAAAATGGTGGGCTGGGATTTAAATCTTGTGCGATTCTGCCACGTTGTTCGAAAGTTTAAATCCCCCAACCCTTCAAGAGCCATGTAGCAATGATTGGAATTTCCACTGTAAATTCTAATTAACAATTAGATTATGAGCTCGAGATTTCGGCCTTCGGCCTCATCAACTATCACCTCATAGAAATCGAGAGCTAATAATCTAATTGTTTTATTAGAATTCTTACTAAAATTTACTTCAAATAAGGGTTTCCAGTTATTTCGAGACGTATTATTAAGCTTTGCGCCTGAGAAAGGTCGCTCGGATTGAATAGTCATTTAAAATTGAAGTTGTGTGCGCGCGCGCATAAGTTTTTTCAATAATGTCCTTAATTTTGACTTCTCAGGAATTTAATTATCCATTGGCATCAAAATGTTCCTTCAAAGCTTTGGAAAAACGAAAAAACGTCGCCATTTCCTAGATGACCTCCAGCAGCCACTGCACACTAATGGCTGATAGTGTTCAATGGCTCGGCCAATCAGATTACAGCATTTGCATTAGTATACTAGTAGAATTCTACTAATACCTTTTAGAGTACCATCAGTCGAATAGCGAAGACTCTAGCTGTGAAGGTAGTTCGATAGGCGATTCCGATCACCCAGAATTTAAAGTTAACCAAGTTTCTTCTGTTGCTTCAAATGACACAATTACTTATTAAGAGTTTATCCTAATCCTGTTAGCGGAGCTTAGTAGCAGGCGTTAAACGGAGCAGGGCGTTTTTTGCCTCCCTACTCCTTCCCTGTTTATGCCTACAACGCAGGTTACCGGAGCTCTGTAGACCTCTTAGCTTTAATTAAATTCTTCCCTTTTATTCAAGAGCCCTGTAAAATAATTAATGTACATCCGTGTATGACGGTGTTGATTTATTGCCATGATGGTAATGCGCATATTTTTGATACAGTCATGGTCTGAGTTAGTCGGAAGGTTTGTTAATTTTATAAAGTACTCACGGTGTTCTTTTAGTCTGTTTTGATGGTGACGCGCGGGAGGGAGATTTAACTATTGGCAGCACGGTAGCAGATGTCCAAGCCTTCACTTCCTCCTGTTCGATTTAACAAAAGAAAAAGACAAACTGTTACTGCTGTCAAATCCGACTGAGCAAAGGCGACTTTTCAGGCCAAAAAGTCAAATTAAGTTGAAACAAGTTGCATTGAATGCATAGGACCTGTTACGCAAAACATGTCTTGAAATTTAATTGGGCCGCTGCGAGACGAGACGCACGAGACTTTGCCTTGTTATTTTCGTTGCCATAGTCCTTGCGGAAAAGTATACATGGAGAACTTGATCAGTTCTACTTTAATTTGTGCCACGCTTGCTGCAACGAAAACGGTGCGAGATTTTTTACACCAGGCAATTTTTCGTGCAGCTGGTGTGTAACAAAATAGTCAGACACGTTCCTAGGAAAACTACCAAGTGTAACAAGGCCCTATTTATCTTTTGTTGCGTCTTTGTTTCAGCCTCTTGCTTAGTTTTCAAGCTCTCATCCTATACCGTACTCATCTGGACTAATTGCTGAGTACCTCGCCATGTGTAATCTTTTCCAGTTTAAATTTAACAGGACACTTGAAACCACCATACACGAGGTACATTTGTGGTACACGTGTGCGGCTAGCCAGACAGCGTTGCGGCTTTTAAGCAGTGTTCAAACCAAGAGAGAAAAACCAAGGAATTTCCAATTTGTTTCCGGTTTTTTTGAAATACTGTCACACACAATTATAAAGAGGTCTACTTTAAGGTAAGAAAAATGTATGAATACAGTGTGACAAATCTGTGAAATACTGAACATGAGCTTATGAGCCACATGCACATGTACAGGCAGGACGTAACATGTCGATCAAAGTCGATCATCGAAAACGTTGTCGATAAGTCGATAGTACTCGATGTTTGTCGATAATTGTCAATCGACAAGTTAAATTTGTCGATAAAAGTCGATAATCACAAGATTTACAACTGATTATCGATTTTATCGACAAAAATGCAGACAAATGTTTCAATCAGCTGCGAAATTCAAGTAACCAAACCAATAATACCTCCAGTGACTTTTTT